AAAAGTATGTTTGTTCGACGCTAATAAACTTAAAAAGTATGTTTGTTCGACGCTAATAAACTTAAAAAGTATGTTTGTTCGACGCTAATAAACTTAAAAAGTATGTTTGTTCGACGCTAATAAACTTAAAAAGTATGTTTGTTTGACGCTAATAAATTTTAAAAAGTATTCGTTTGACACTAATATAATAAAAAAGGTACATTTGTTTGACGCTAATAAATTAAAAAGTCAATTTATTCTAATGAATTAAAAAAGTCTGTTTTTTTATGCTAATAAATTAAAAAGTGTTTGTTTGATTTTGACGTCAATAAACTAAGAAACCCATTCGTATTAAACAAAGTATATATATCTATACTAATAGTAATATGTTACTTGCATATTTTTTCAGTTTGAATTGTCACCGGGGTATTTAGGACTAATTTATATGGCTGCAGCAGTGGCTTATTCTCTGTCTTGTTCGATTGTAGGAAATATCCTTAACAAAAAAGTAAGTAGAAAAATATTATTAATAATAGTATTTTGTAGTAGGAACACGAAGTAATTATTGTAAACATAATAAAACACAAACGATATGAAAGGTACAATTTTAAACAGGAAGCCGACATTATTGCTTTGCTATTAAAGTATTGTTACGTCTCCGCTCGTTCGTTAATTAATTTTCCGTAAATTCGTTCCGACGAAACTTTAGCGACACGAGTCCTTTCTGAAATAAAACTGGTTTATTCTTTCCGAATACAACTTTATCGATACACTTAATTTCAACAGTCGCTCTATAACAAACGCTATAATTCTCAAAGAACGTCTCACGTGCTTGTGCTCGACAATACTCACATCAATTACACATTGTTCCGTCACGTTGTGATCGTCTTATATGTATACCAGACTACCCCCAATCTATTAATCTCCCGACAATTCACGAAAGAACAGGAGGTGGCGTGATACCAGTCACGTGACCTCGCTGACGCAACAGTATATTTAGTTATGGTGTTCGAATGTAATGATTTCTGATCATTCGTAGAGTTCACAGGAAGTTTTCTTTAATAAGAAAAGGGCATGGAACAGATTTGTTTGTATATTGAATTTCGACCAAAACTACTCTAGTGCTATCTGCACTAGCCGTCCCTAATTTAGAAACGATAGACTGAGAAGACAGCTCTTTACCAACGAGAAAAGTGGGATTGACCGTCACATTATAACGCCTCATGGCTGAAAGGACGAGTGTGTTCGGTGACATGATTCGAACACGCGACCCGTAGGTTACGAGTCACTCGCCCTAACCGCCAGGCCCATAGGACAGTCACTTTGATGGAAGATAATTCGATCTGTCATCATACATTAGTGAAGAGAAACTAATGGCTACATGCTCTAATCATCCATAATTTTGAAGTGATAGACTAGATGGAGGTCATTCCTGTCATATCGAATAGTGATATTTCACCATCACTCTTATAAGACATTATCATGTAGTGTTTTATAAACTGATCTTTTTCTTTTTACGTTTCTAACCAGGTACCTGCTTTCCTTATCATCATCATAGGCTGTTGTATAACTATTGTTGGCCTTATATTCATTGGTCCCGTTCCAGGAATACCTTTAGATGGGTAAGTGGAGTCTATTTGTTTTACAGTCGGAAAAAAAAAAGGAAAACTTATATCACGAAAAATGTAAAGTTTAAGATCATCAGAGGAAGGGTGTCCCAGGTTCGAAACGTTGTAAACATTACAACATCTATTCTGAGTTATCCATTTTCTTATGGTAAACGTTTTCCCTCCACCCCACCCCCTTTTTTTTTCGATTTAATCGTACCACAGCGGCCTTTCCCTGAATTATAATCAAAGATGTTTTTTTTTGTTCATTTATTTATTTTCATGTTTGGTTAATTAGTTATGTTGTATTCATTCTAGTTGTAGTTTGTTAAATACATTTATTTTATGTTGTATTCATTCTAGTTGTAGTTTGATAAATACATTTTTTTATGTTGTATTCATTCTAGTTGTAGTTTGATAAAAAAAAAAATATATATATATACATACATATTGCTGTGTTGTAGCCTACAGAGTGCATAATTCTTCTCGTGATTCATGGCATGCGCACATTTTATTGTCGTCACGACCAGTGTTCTCTTTAATTTTTTTCAATCCGTGAGCGCAGTGACTTTTATCATGTACAACAGTATAAAGACAATATGCTATCTAGGTTTTTTTTTTGGGGGGGGGGGGATTTTTTAGACCATCGACCCTAGTGGATCATTAGGCCGCTTTGCAATGCTACCGGTTGGTTATTTGTGCTTTAGGCTTATCGATTACCAGGGTCATTAAGGCCGTCAACGTGTTGAGACTCCTCACCATTAATGAGGATGTGCGCAGCACTTGATTGCTTGTTGTGCGGCCACGCAGCTTAGAGAGCACACTGGTCACGACAGCAGAAATTGCAACGTTAAGCATTCCTTATGTGACGTCATTTTAGTGTATACTGACTGTCTAACAGACAACACTACTGCATGGTGGTGCGAGTGGTTAAAAACAGATGACCCATCCAGGTGGCCTTCGGGCCCCGAAATAGAGTTACTGAAATGGACCTAGAATCTCGAGCAGGTTTGAAA